GATTTGAAGTTGGAATTTAATTATTTATGAGTTAAATTAAATAAGATTGTAATTAAATGTTAATAATTAATTCAATGTAATTAATGGTTAATATCACGCGTCAATTATGGATTGACTAAAGCCGCGTGGCTGATGCAATCCTTTGTCAACGGTGGCGCGTAATGGCCGCATGGCGTCACTAAATAAATTTACTTGATTTTATTTATGTTAATTCACTGAACTATTAAACTGACTTAAATGAATTGAGAATTTAAAGTATAATTGAATCTACTATAATTATTTATATTTAATGAATGATTTAAATATTTGAATGAATGTGAGATGCAAGTAAGAATTATCAAATTGATTAGCACAGAGTAGTCGTACTAGTACAGAAGTCCAAGCACAACTGTTGCATCAGACCACGCGAGCCGGCTTCTCTACCGCTAACCAAGGCCCGCATGAGCGACGGCCATAGCGTGATACGATTATTCCCGAGTTTATACGATTATTCCCGAGTTTTAACGATTAAGCCCGAAGGCGTAATTCTTCTTATAAGTATTTGACTAGATCTCTTTTCTAGCGGTTAAACAGCGAGTAATACGGTTCACCGTAGAGCGTGAAATATGGATCCGACGTTCAACCCGTCTTGTACTCGTACTGGGATCCGCACGGATAGCAGCGAGAACGCGTTCTTCGTTGCGAACATTCCGAACCTCTCGAGGTCGACCGACGCGCTCGACATTGTTCGGCATCCGATTGCCGGATTCGCGACAACGATGAAGAGCGCGGAGGATAACATTTTTATCTGGATAGTTGTCACGATTCGGAAACCTCTCACGATAAGCGCGTGCAGTTGCCACAGCATTACGATTACACTCGCCATAAAGAATAATCATCTCGGTAAATTCAGCAGCAGTATAAACCATGATGACGAAGTTCGTTGAGAGAAAATTCAGAAACGACTGACAGCGGAAAATAGTTAGCTAAGAGACGGGAAGAAAACAAATGAAATCGGAAAACCAATCGAATCGCGACACACATGGAAAAAAAAACAACGATGAATAAAACAAGAGACTCGGAATAATAGTAACAATTAAAATAAGGAAAAGTTAATAAACAAGGAGAACGAGCGATAAAAATACAGAAGTTTTTTGAGTAAAATAAATCAGCAAAAGACACTGTTAACCCGTCTGAAAACGTCGGTTCTTCATTTAAGTAATTATAATTATTGTTGTTAATATTATAGTTATTATTTTCTTAACTTACCAAAATAAATTAGCCGCCGACACTTTGTTACTCCGTCCGAGTTAATCGTTTTTTTATTTTTATAATAATAATTATTATTTTAGTAATTAACCGTAATAAATCAGCAACCCAGTGCTTTTGCTTGACCCCCGCAACTGGTTTCTAATTAAAAATTACTTCAATAATTTAAAATAAATAAAAAAATCCTGTACCTAATGCCCAATGCCTCTAAGTGCTCCTCGTTACGAATTTTTTAAATACAAATTATTTAAATAATTCCAAATAAGACTAAAAATTCAGTCATAGATGCCTAGTGCCTCCTACTGAACCTCACTACTTTTTTTTTTAATTAAAAATTGCTCTTACAATTCCAAAAGAAAGTAAAAATTCATTCTTAGCCGCCCAGTGTCTCTACTTGACCGTTGCTACTTATTTTTCATTTAAAAATTACTTTAATTCTTCGAAATAATAATAAAAATTCATTCATAGCTGCTAAGTGCCTCTTACTCACTCTCACAACTTGATTTTCAATTAAAAATTACTTTAATTATTCGAAATAAGAATAGAAATTCATACATAGCCGCCCAGGACCTTTAACTGACCTTCGCTACTTATTTTTAAATTGAAATAATTTTAATTAATCGGAATAGAAATAAAAATTAATTTAAAGCCACCCAGAGTCTCTACTCGACACTCCCTACAAATTTTTCTAATTGGAAATTACTTAATTATTCCAAATTAAAATTAAAATTCATAAATAGCCACCCAGTGCCTCTTACAGACCCTCGGTACTTGTTTTTCATTTAAAAACGACTTTAATTATTCCAAACAAAAATGAAAATTCATTACTAGCCAATCAGTGTCTCTTACACACCCTCCCAACTAATTTTTTAATTAAAAATTACTAAAATTATTCTACACTGTAAAAAAAACCGGGGTAAGTCCAAAGCGGTGTAGGTGTTAAAATTTGCGGTGTTAAATTTCAACACCGAAAGCAGTGTTAAAATAACACCGCTGTCGGTGTAAATATTTTTTTCCGGTGTTAAAGCGGTGTTAAAAATTTTCCGGTGTCAAAATATTTGTCGATGTTGAAGATATTTTACTTTGTGAATATTTTTATTCACTAAATTACTACTATTGGACAGTATATTCATTAATTCATAAAATTATTAATTATTGAAATGGTAGGTGTAAAATTGTATAATTTTCAAATAAAGTTCGTATTACATAGGTGACAATTTAAATAACTACAAACCAGAATTAAAATTTGTTCTGGATGATACTCATGGACTTTTCATATTTTTTTATGTTATACATTTTTTTCTTAACTTTTTTAGGCACAATTTTTTTTTTCACTAAAAATCATAAAAATTATTTGATCTTTTGGAATTTGAGCATCATAAGTTAATTATAATTTCATTTTTTGCGACCGTGATTTGAATAATTAAATGATTTTGTTTAGCGCCAATTCGGTCAAATTTTTTTTTTTTTTTTTAATTATAATATTATAAATTATAATATTATATATTATAATATTTGTTAATTATAATATTATAAATTTTTAAAATTTGAATGGTATTTCTAAATGACTAGTAAAAACCAATGCAGCCAACTAAATGTATACAAGTAACCAGATGACATAAGCCGCCCTCTCTAGGTACTGCGTTAAACTGTCTACACTGGAGGTCAGCCATTTTCGGATTTTCTTCGTTGTTTATGTTTGTTGTTATTGTTACAATCATATGTTGATAGAAAAAAATAAAAAAACTTAAAGAGCAAAAAAGCATCGATGTCTTTTTAACAATGTCTGACATTTATCAAAATGAAGATTTTACACAAACAACAATAATCAACTGTCTTCGTCGTGTGACTCATGAAGGTGATAGAAAATGGGTCAAAATTGTATCGGATGATCTTACTATAAAATATGACAACTTTATTAGTTCTGGTGCGTTTTCAATTGAATTTTTATAGTAGTAGTAGTAGTAGTAGTAGTAGTAGTAGTAGTAGTAGTAGTAGTAGTAGTAGTAGTAGTAGTAGTAGTAGTAGTAGTAGTAGTAGTAGTAGTAGTAGTAGTAGTAGTAGTAGTAGTAGTAGTAGTAGTAGTAGTAGTAGTAGTAGTAGTAGTAGTAGTAGTAGTAGTAGTAGTAGTAGTAGTAGTAGTAGTAGTAGTAGTAGTAGTAGTAGTAGTAGTAGTAGTAGTAGTAGTAGTAGTAGTAGTAGTAGTAGTAGTAGTAGTAGTAGTAGTAGTAGTAGTAGTAGTAGTAGTAGTAGTAGTAGTAGTAGTAGTAGTAGTAGTAGTAGTAGTAGTAGTAGTAGTAGTAGTAGTAGTAGTAGTAGTAGTAGTAGTAGTAGTAGTAGTAGTAGTAGTAGTAGTAGTAGTAGTAGTAGTAGTAGTAGTAGTAGTAGTAGTAGTAGTAGTAGTAGTAGTAGTAGTAGTAGTAGTAGTAGTAGTAGTAGTAGTAGTAGTAGTAGTAGTAGTAGTAGTAGTAGTAGTAGTAGTAGTAGTAGTAGTAGTAGTAGTAGTAGTAGTAGTAGTAGTAGTAGTAGTAGTAGTAGTAGTAGTAGTAGTAGTAGTAGTAGTAGTAGTAGTAGTAGTAGTAGTAGTAGTAGTAGTAGTAGTAGTAGTAGTAGTAGTAGTAGTAGTAGTAGTAGTAGTAGTAGTAGTAGTAGTAGTAGTAGTAGTAGTAGTAGTAGTAGTAGTAGTAGTAGTAGTAGTAGTAGTAGTAGTAGTAGTAGTAGTAGTAGTAGTAGTAGTAGTAGTAGTAGTAGTAGTAGTAGTAGTAGTAGTAGTAGTAGTAGTAGTAGTAGTAGTAGTAGTAGTAGTAGTAGTAGTAGTAGTAGTAGTAGTAGTAGTAGTAGTAGTAGTAGTAGTAGTAGTAGTAGTAGTAGTAGTAGTAGTAGTAGTAGTAGTAGTAGTAGTAGTAGTAGTAGTAGTAGTAGTAGTAGTAGTAGTAGTAGTAGTAGTAGTAGTAGTAGTAGTAGTAGTAGTAGTAGTAGTAGTAGTAGTAGTAGTAGTAGTAGTAGTAGTAGTAGTAGTAGTAGTAGTAGTAGTAGTAGTAGTAGTAGTAGTAGTAGTAGTAGTAGTAGTAGTAGTAGTAGTAGTAGTAGTAGTAGTAGTAGTAGTAGTAGTAGTAGTAGTAGTAGTAGTAGTAGTAGTAGTAGTAGTAGTAGTAGTAGTAGTAAGTGCTCCAAAATTCTTCTACTGGCTGTGAAGTTTTGGAAGAGTATAAACAACAGCAAGCTTTGACACCACGAACTCGAAAAAGTTTAATCAAATTAGCGGCGGATGCTTTGCTAAATTTTTACGGCTTATATCCTTCAAAGGATGAAAAAATTTCTTGCGCAAAAGAAATTATTCGTATATTCCCAAATTTAAAGGATACACATTCTGTGGAAGGATGGGTCAGTACTTTTTGTTTTGAAACAATAATTCCTCTGTTTATTTAAAAAAAAAAAAAATATAAATTCGGCTCTAAAATGACATATTATCAATCTTTTTTTACTTAATTATTATTATTAGGAAGCGTTTTATGAAGTTGAGAGTCGAGGTGGTTTCTTGGGAAATCGCTTAAAGAATATTATTAGACAAAAAAAGAAAAAAGAAGATAAGATATTAGAAGATTCACAAGTAACGGTTGAAGATAAAAGTGATTACATTGTCGATGATAGTAACGTCGACGAAGCAAGCAAAAATCATAGTTACAGCGCAAGTTACATTGAAAAAAAAAAAATTATTTTTATACAATGCAAATTTTAAAACACAAAAAAATGAAATTATTCAAAGTATGAAAATTACTTTTGAGGATAGAAGGAAAAATTGTCCTAAAATACTCTCATTGTATCCTCGATTTGTGGATATTCCGTATCTTGTAAGTAACAACAGTAACATTTTGATTGTGCATTTTTTTCTCGTTAATAATAAGATAAAAACTAATTATTGTTATGTAGATCAATGTGGAGTTCAATTTGATGCATCCAAAACTCGAAATCAAAAAATTTTGTTCTGAAAAAATTTTTAAAGAAGCCAAAAAACACAATATTGATTTTACAGCTAATGAAGAAACTGGTAAGAAAATAATTGCTTTAATTTATTAACATATCATAATTTTCATTTAATAACAAAATGATTCTTTTAGTTGTAGATTGGGACTTTACTACAAATGCATATTTGATGCTTTTGAAATTTCTACCGCCTCCATCAAATAGTAAAAAGAAAGAAATTAATTTCTCAATAACAATTGATCGTTTAATCATTTTTCATAAGGTATAAATATTTAATTTTTTGTATAAGATTAAAGTGAAAAATTTTAAAAACATTCAATTTAATTTTTAGCAAGGCAAAATATTGTCAGATATAAAATTAGAAGGGACGCAACCAGTTCTGATAGCGATTGGTGAAAATAAAACCACGATCAGCCATTATTATATTGCTTTGGATGAAAAATTCATACCAATCGATGCAAAAACGATTTTCACTGTTACTTTATGATTTTTATTCTGTATAGTTATCATACTTCACTCGTCGAAAAACCAAATTTTTACTTGAGTTCTCCGATTTTTTACCTAAGTAAAAATCGTAGATCATCGATCGATCGTCTGTCATTGCACAGTAGTTTGTAGGTGAAACGACCGTGAAACGAGTGTATAATTTCGGTAGGTCAGGAATGTTTTACTAGTCAACGATGAAAAAGTGCTGACAATATTATATTTTTTTTTATTTCATTAAAAATACTCAAAGTGTATAAAAAGATAGGAAAATGAGAAATTTTCAATAAATAATTGGGATGAAAAATTTGAAAAAAATATTAAATTATTGTAATTTTGTTTATTTCAAAGTAAAATCATAAAAAATTAATCAGACTATAGGCAATCAACAGAGATCCATCATTTCAATACTTTTCAGAAGAGTTTATGGCTTACAAGTGTTGAATTTTTTTTCATAGTTTTAAATGAGAAACTATAATACTTTTTGATTGTGAAAAATGTAATAATCAATATTGTTTTTTTTTTTTTTTTTTTTTTTTTTAAATCGGAAGATATTTTATTCAAC